ATGGATTATTGCGTGAAGCAAGGACCGGGGGCTTAGGTGCTTGTCACCATCAAATCAGGGTCGGTGGGTAGTGGGTTATAGTTGTGGTTGTGGTGGTTATCGAAGCGTTGAGCAAAGGCAACGAACGATCTTATCCCTTTCTACGATAGGTAGCCACTATCTATAAGATAAAATGGCCTGTCTTTCTCTACGATAGCTATAATCTACAAAGAGTCGGTTAAATATTTTCAAAGCTGGGGTAAAAAATATAACGGTGATTATTGAAGATTGGTTGCTTCTGCTCGCGACTTTAATCGCAGAGTGGGCTGCAAATGAACTCATAGAGCAACAGCAGCGGGAAATGGAGTATCCATGGCGGGAACTTCTCCAAAGCTGCTGTCAAAATGAGCCATGATGCAACTTCTTTAAAGATGGGATGATCACTGGCTTCGGTACCTGGGTTGCTTCTGCTCGCGACTTCAGTCGCAGAGTTGGTTGCGAATGCAGCCATGGAGCAACAATTGCAGGGAATGGAGCTTCAGCGGCGGGGATTGCTCCAGTTGCTGCCGAATGAGCGATCCATGATGCAATTCCAAAGATGAGATGATAGCAGGTTTCGCGGCCCGAGTTGCTTCTGCTGGCGATTTGAGAAGCGGCATCAGCGTCAGTGTTGGAGCGGGTTGCTCTCTTCCTGGCGGGGTGAATCACTTCGAGTCGCCATTGTTTTTGTAGAGATTGAATATCGCTCGCTGAATTGTCAATGCTTCGAATTGAATGTGGAGCAAAGCCTACCTACCACGAACACGTCTGTCGACTAATGGGACATTCGAAACACTTGATCAGATTTGAGTTTAAAGGAGGGAAGATCCTAATGGAGTCTCCATTTTATACATAATTTCAACTACAAGATACTTAAAGGTTTACTGAATATGTTATATTGATCTTGAATAGTGATGGCGCCGTCAAACAAAAGCTAGTAACGAACGAAGGGTCATAATATTGGCGATGTGATATTAGCACCAGCTTTCACTTGATTATGGCCTCTAGATGTAAAGCTTTAGGATAATGTGATTTAAAATTGCGTATATATTAGATACTTCTCTCCCCTTATGCTGATGTATGGCCAAGTCTCTCGAGTGTCTACTGGTCGACAAAATCAGTGCGAGTTTCGGCTTTATCAACGGCAAAGAGAAGTTTAAAAATCTGATTACTCAAAGACACCCTTGGGCTGACTGATTAAATTTCTCATGAAAAAATTGTATGCGTGTGGTCTGTAATTTGAGAGTTTAATAAAGTCGCCTCGCTAGGTAAACAAACCCCTGAAATTGGCATTGCCATGTAAAGACAAAATCCGCCTCTTTCATCCAAACCCCGCTCGGGACGCGATATATATCAGATAACCCGAAAATAACTCAACAAAACTGAGCCAATCGAATTATATCAAGTAGGGTTATATAATCTCCATTCAATCCTCATAATGACAGCGTTAATTCACTTTGAGATCGATGACCTCCCACTCTATGACACCCAAACATATATACTACCCCTAGTCCAAAGAGCTATTTCAGAAAAGCAAAAAACCCAAAACAAAGAAGTTGGATTCACGAATGATTTGCAACTAGATTAATTCACTATCTCATCAAACATGATTGCCCGCCTCACGACGAATTCCGTCTCGGTCACCTCCACATTGCTTCAATTGACCAGAAAACATCCACACAAAAACATCAATAGACATACATACTGTAGATACTGTAAGTTTCGTATAATAAATTTCACTTCTGGCGATGCCGCGGATTTCTGGCGTTTCCCTAAAAATATGCGCTTTGCGATTTGTTGAGGCTAACGGCAATGCACTTCTCTTTCCACAGCCTGACTTGGTGTTCATGGTCACACAGTGTCACTCAGTGATCCGTCTTGTTGAGACACAAACCTGAAAGGGTTTAAGTGGTTTGTTTCACGACGAGAGAACCCTAATGAGGAATGCGTTGTTTAGTAGCACAAAATGTCGGAAGCTAACACAGATATTAAGCTGTGACCCGATTGTGTTTCTCAGGCATATTTTAGGGGCATATTTGCACCCATGAAGGTGACCCAGGTACTATATTAAGAGGGCTACCCAACCATACACCAATTTTGTTGATTCTGCTTGGGTATCGCACTTATAGACAAGGGACTTCTCGCCGTAATCTCGGTCACGCAATGGATTGTGTCGTGGCTGATGATTCATTTTTCACCAAGGATGCCTTGGATTTCTTCCGCTACGAGAAAAAACTCTCTGACCCAAATGATCATTGTAGAGTTCTCGATGGCAACAACGTAGGTAGTACTCAATCACACCAATTCACACATCTGTGCAGTTATTTCTGACAACGTGCTATAGGAAAATCATGGGAAAATCCAATCATTGAACCTTGCTCAAGAAAAGACTGGGACAATTGGCTTGGTGTAAGCTCAAACGATATATAGCAGTTCCCTACCCACATGTACGGATTCGTACCTACTTACCGTCCTGTTCTTGTTTTAGCATCCAATTTTCAATGAGCCAACACACAAACCCAGCTCCAGATTCAAGATCTTGTATATGTGATCCGCATAAAACAACACGACAAAAGTGATCACTTCTGCCTCCAGATTGTCATTTCCAACGAAGGATGTATTTCCCCTGCTTGTGAACCCCGAAAACTACCTGACATTTTCCTGTACTAGATGGCAGGTCATCACCAAATTCTTCCGAATACACAAAACAGTCGCAAAGGCTATAAAGGACTCCGAAGAGAGTCGCAAGAGCTACATTGGGTATACCATCAAGGAAGATTCGGATACGGACGAAGCGCTCGAGATGTTTACCGCAGCTTTGAGCTCAACAAAGCAGGAGGAACCCACCAGCGTCGTGATATCATCCACCTACTACACCAAATCCAAGACATCCTTGGCAGTCATCTACAATTGCAACAGCAAGCAGAAACAAAGGATTCAAGATCTCCTTGACAACTCTCCCGAGGCTAGCACTCACCCACTTCTTCTTCCCGGTCTATTTGCCGAGCTTCAACGAGATCGTCTCGAAAGACTTGTCGAACTCAGCTACCGTGCCGGATTTCGGCTTCTCGAATCTTTGAGACTCGTCGCCAGGGCATACAACGACAAGTCCGATGACGAGACCATTAGCCGAGAGGTAAACGATAGGCTGCGTAAAGGCATCATGAACGCAAATTTCATTCAAGAGGAGGTTTGTGCGACGAGGCAGCAGCTGGAAAGAATGATTAGATTCATCCCGACTCAAAGCTTGGCTCTTAAATTGCCCGATTTTTTCAAGTGCACAATGAGATACGAGGTTAGGTTTGAAGAGATTCTGATGGACATTGATAACTTTATGGCTCATTCTAGGATCATATGTGAGGACCTAAGACATGCTACTGATTTTGTAAGATCCGGACAGGCATCCTGCTGGATTGAATATCTGATTACTGATAATTCTTTTCCAGTTAACACGACAAGAGACAGCCCGCGCTGGCCGACAAGCAAAGGTTAGCACCGTCATTGCCTTTGTTGCAATGTTATACCTTCCCATGACATCTGTCGCGGTAAGTGGCTCTCAGCCGGCAGCCAGCATAATTAATCACCTCCTTTTCCCCCTTTCCTTGAATCAAAGGTTGATAGATATAATTTCGTATACTAAATTTAAAGAACACCCTTTAGAACATATTTGCAATGCCAATCTTTGGCTTCCAAAACAAATGGCTAGACATATACTTCAAGCTCGCAAACACCAAGTCAGATTCCGATAATAATACACCGGGGTACTTGATAATAACCCGGCTAATAATAGCCCGCCACCGGTTTTATCAGGCTACTTTTGGATATATCTCGCTGTATCGATCTCACTAACCGGTGCAACTGTGGGATTCTATGTCTGGTACACTGGTGAGCAGAAGGCGGCTTCTCAGGCTCAGCAGGCTCGGGTCCAGCCGTTTTATCAAAATGTGGATCAAGATTCAACTCATCGGATCCAAGAGTAAAAAGAAGAGGATGTCTCTTCGTACAATGTGGTTTATCACCTTCCACATTGCAGCCCGATTTTTTTACACCTATAATCCTAAGCCGATTAAAGACATGAGATATTCCTAGCAGCCATTCCATCCTTTAATAACCTCTATGAAAAAGAAAACACAGCATTTCGAATATGAAAAGGCATGAATTATTGTTTTGAGGGACTTTCTTTAAATAAAACAGATAAAAAGATAAAAAATATGCCTTTTGAAATGATATTTAGGCATGAGCAATGTAGGAGGTGACAAACCGCATTGTAAGAAGGGACATTCTCATAAAGAAGACCAGGGAGTACCTAACTAAGGACAAGAACACACATCTTTTTTCCTTCCTTTGGTTTCGCAACCGCAAGTCTGGATCACTTTGAGGAGAGGAGTTTATAACGAGACGGATGGGGGAAAGAACCTTATCAAATCTTGTTTTTAGGGGTTTATTAGGGATATTTACCAAACTTCAGACAACCCCCAGTCCCCCATGATCCATCCCATCGGTATCTACAGTTTTGAAAGAAGAACCGATTCCTGTGCGCTACTTATATATATCAAAGTTCTCTTACCTTTTATCACATACGATCATACCTTCAAGAAAACTCGGCATCCCGTCCGCTCTGCCCTAGATAAGCTTGAAAGGGCCAGACTAGTACTCAGGTGGGTGACCACTGGGGAATCCCTGGTGTTGTATGTTTTTTTGTTTTTTTTGACTCCATCACCAAAGTCTTGGCATGTTATTAATTACACGGAGCAAGAAGGATTTACAATTCATAACGTGTGTAATAAGTTTTGATCCACTTGATGGGAAGACTTTGAGACCCTTCCGTGGTTCCTTTTCCATTGGTAGGCGGTTTGAATTACACCAAATCTCTGTTGGAATGGGCTTTCTCCTCTAAGCAGCCACAAATGTTTATCATGAAACAAAACACAAAAAAAAAACTAAAAAAAAAAACTTCGTCTTGGGAATGGTTTTATTCCAAGTGCGGTTTATGTGGATCGAACACATGACCAGATTTGATTATTGGATTGAAGTGGACTTCAGTCTGAAGCTCTCCTAACTGAGCTAAATCCGCTTTCTGTGATATATTTAATATGGGATCTCAAGCTATGTTAAAAACATTGGGTTGTACCAGGATGATGATATTGGATAGGTTCAGTAGATTAACGAATCTGATTGCGAGGTTTGCTGGATTGGATCTGGACAGCGCTGAGTGGTTTGATTTGGTGGTTATAAGGGATCATTTAAAATACCAACCTCATAGTTTTAAAAGTTCCTCCGAAAATGTGAATCGTGTAACGTTATGTGGTGGGAAATAGTTTGGTAGTAAGTGAATGCCTACTTAGTATTAGATATCAAAAGTATGCATCTTTACACTAGCTATTCTCAACGTCCTAGGTATCATGTTCACTCTAACCATAGCACTTCAATTGCCAGTCTCTGAGTTTCCTGAGAAATTGATACGTAGAAGCTTGAGATGCTGTGCCATAAAACAAGTATGTTCTAACTTGAATAACTTGATTCTTTTGACCCTTGTTGCTAGACCTGGAAGTAATGACCTTGACAATAATTCAAACTCGCCCATAAAGTAAAAGTATGAAATGCATGTACCATCTATCCCGCAGAGCGATCACACAAACCAATCAATCTTAATTCGCCATCCCGCAGCTACCTTTCATATTTCCCGGTCGAGAGATCAGAAAAAAAAAACATGCTCATTCCTCCACCCTCTACATTACTTTACCACTCTTCTGATTTCCTACCCAACCTTTCTCCTCCGTTCCCCGGATTCCCCGGAGTAGGTACGTAGCAACAAACCCAAATCAGCCAAAAAAGATCTACTTGTTCACCTGCTTTGATGATCCTAACACAACACACTACATCATCACCCAAGGTAATTACCTCATCCCGACTTTTACTACCGGCTTCATCATCTAACCCATTGGTAACTCATCTTTGGTTCTACTCTGGCGGGATGATGCTCACAGCCAGAATTGTCGCACACCCATGCTCCCCTTTCTCGGATCACTTGACGCATCTGTTCCGATTTCAATTCAACATGTTACCCCTGCTACTCCCTTGCCCACCCCCCCAATTAAGAGATCTACAAACAATATATCTTGTGCGCACGTTTTTATAAGATTTGCCCGTTTTGTAAAAATCTCACAACATCCACAAAACAAGTCAGAACGGTAGGTAGCTCCGTGTCGGCAGGTATTTTGACCAGCCGATACTATAGATTTTTTGGAGAATACCAAAAGGAAAAAAGGGCTTTAGCCGAGAGGACTAGAACATTTTGCTTGTATTGGTGCGGGAGAAGTTGATGATGGCCTGTCAGAATTGTTGTTCCCGTGGCTCTGGACCGCTCCCGGCTAATAATCCTGCGGCTTAATGAGTGGGACAGGCACTATATAATAAACTGCAGCCCGAACAAATGATCGAGTTTCGTTTCAGACCGTTGGGCGTATTTTAGCCATCATAGACAAGCTTGGCAAACTAAATGTCCGGTCGTGCATATGTAATGTCTCCCCAAACATATGGGATACCGTAAAAAGGGGGAATATGGAAAGACACCCTGACCCTCACATTCTCCCCCAGAATCAGACCCCCAAATTGCGGAGACCCCGCATTTTCCACTAAGTTCGAGCAACCCCAAGTCCCGAATCTGTGGTGTGAGGAGATCTTGCATATTGTAAGAAAGAGCCATTGATCTGTTAATTCAAACATTCAACGGCACTTGGTATGTTGCCACCTTCGGACCCTGCAGGGTCCTCCATTGATCATCTGAGCAAATCCTCGATGGCACCATGTCTCATTCTCATGCCCATCCATATTCATCCAACCGCGAGCAACCCGGAGACCTTGCTCTGTGCTCCATCTCTCCCATATTATCTTGGCTGGGGTCAAGTCGTCTTCTCGAACGAACACGGCTAACGACTCCGAGTCCCCCACTGCCTCCTAGAAAGGATCGCCAGCATTTCTCCACAATGCAGGCGGCAGTGGCTGAAAGAAGTTTGCGTATAACCCTTTCCCCACATTCTTCTAGCAAATCGCAATCGTTGCCGCTGAGATTCAAAGGCAATCCACCAATCCGCAGTCGGCCCGGCGGTCGTCGCCTGAGCGTAAATGAAGCTGTATATGAAATGCCAGATGCGAATCTAGGTCTTCGTCCACTCGCCTTGCTCGGCACTCAACAGGAGCCCCGCACATTATATCTCAACGGCGACTAATCGGCGCGGCTCAAGCCTTTCCTCGGAGGTTCCTGGCCGAACCACTGGGGCAGTGGCGGGCCTGTGTTCCTGATTGCAGAATCGAGAGGGTTGCCATGGCGATTCTGTCTCCGGGTCTCTAGATGGGCACCCAGGGGCGCGGCAGTTGGTATAAAGACGAGCCGTCCACCCCCCAATTGTCGAAAAGAAAGAACTCTTCTGATCAGGCCCTATACTTCAGCTGAAAGTTGTGCTCTCATCTCCTATCCAACATGAAGTTCTCCAAGTCCGCTACCTTGGCATTCGCCGCCACCGCCGTCGCCGCTCCCTCGGCCACCACCAAGGAGCAGCCATCCAAGAGACAGGCCGGCTGCGCTTCTGCCGTCACCCTCGATGCCAGCACCAACGTCTTCAAGAAGTATACCCTCCACGCCAACAACTTCTACCGCGCCGAGGTCGAGGAGGCCGTCAACCTGCTCTCCGACTCCAGCCTAGCCTCCGCCGCCGCCAAGGTTGCCGACGTTGGTTCTTTCCTCTGGCTCGACACCATCGCCAACATTGCCAAGTTCGAGCCCGCCGTTGCCGATGTTCCTTGCAACGAGATTCTCGGTTTGGTCATCTACGATCTTCCCGGCCGTGACTGCGCCGCCAAGGCCTCCAACGGTGAGCTGAAGGTTGGCGAGCTCAACCGCTACAAGAAGGACTACATCGACGGTAAGCATTTTCTCCTCTAAGCGTTTTTCAGACACACAGAAAACTTACAGCCCAAAGTCATCGCCGCTCTCCTCAAGAAGCACAACAAGACCGCTTTCGCGCTCATCATCGAGCCCGATTCGCTCCCCAACCTCGTCACCAACTCTGACGTGCAGGCATGCAAGAACTCTGCCTCGGGCTACCGCGACGGTGTCGCCTACGCCCTCAAGACTCTCAACCTTCCCAACGTCGTCCAGTACATTGATGCTGGCCACGGCGGCTGGCTCGGCTGGGACGCCAACCTCAAGCCCGGTGCTGAGGAGCTCGCCAAGGCCTACAAGGCCGCCGGCTCCCCCAAGCAGTTCCGTGGCTTCGCCACCAACGTGGCCGGCTGGAACTCCTGGGACCAGTCCCCAGGCGAGTTTGCCTCCGCCTCTGACGCAAAGTACAACTCGTGCCAGAACGAGAAGACTTACGTCCAGACCTTTGGCGCCCGCCTCAAGACGGCCGGCATGCCCAACCACGCCCTCGTTGATACCGGCCGCAACGGTGTCACCGGCCTCCGCGAGGAGTGGGGCAACTGGTGCAACGTCAACGGTGCCGGCTTTGGCGTCCGCCCGACTGCCAACACCGGCCTCGAGCTCGCCGATGCCTTCGTCTGGATCAAGCCCGGCGGTGAGTCCGACGGAACCAGCGACAGCTCTGCCGTCCGCTACGACAGCTTCTGCGGAAAGCCCGATGCCTTCCAGCCTTCCCCCGAGGCCGGTCAGTGGAACCAGGAGTACTTTGAGATGCTCCTCAGGAACGCCAACCCTCCTTTCTAAGTACTACTACTATTTACTCTCTTTCATGTTCCGGTTGCCAAAAGGAGGGGAAAAAGGAGATGGACAAACTTACTTGAGACTGGTTTGAGATCAATTTCTTTTTTGAGGTTGATCAACCTGTGTATAAAATCTTGCCGGACTCTTGTAGTTTAAGTTCTCTCGAGGTGTACATATACATATATGCATTCGTTGCAAAAATTCAGATTGTGCATACATACCTTTTTGCTGTGCCTTTTGCCGTCGTGTTTTTCATGTAGCTGTTTCAATGCAGAATCTTTATTGATGCCGAATGTGTTTGTCGTTAATGATGCTTTGAAAATGGGGTTGAAGCCCTTGATAGAGTTTCTGTTGGTTGGCGACCTAAAAGTAGTTGTTCCTCCAATATTTGTGATGATGAACTGGGGGAAGACGGGAGATTGAAAAGAACTTGGCGTTTCAGTTTGGGTTGAAATCTTCATGAGTGATTCCTTCCACTTTTGTTCCGTACAGTGTTTTAAATTCTTGGAAAGAACCTACGTCATCATCATCTGGTGAGTTCCAGACCCAGAGGGGTTTTGTGTTTTAATTTGTGGAAGGTGGGACAGATTCTAAGATTGTTCCTGCTAGTTTTGACCCTGGAGTGCATAAGTGAGGGACCACAATAGAGTTGAGTGGCCGCTTGATGTCGTTGTCGACGGAGGAGTCGAAAGCGCAGAAGATATTGTTTGCGATGCCAAGACTTGCCGATGGAGTCAAAAATGGAGTCAAAAAAAGACATACAACACCAGGGATTCCCCAGTGGTCACCCACCTGAGTACTAGTCTGGCGATCAGTAGCTTATCTAGGGCAGAGCGGACGGGATGCCGAGTTCTCTACTGTCTGTGGTCGTATGTATTAGATTATTGGAGGTATTTGCTTTATGAATGCGACTGTCAGTCTCTTCGTCCATACCTGAAAATAGCCATTTGTCACCTCTTACGATACCCCTGAGTTGACAACGGGAAACAAGCAAGCCACACAAGTTTTGTGAATAGAAATTCGATTCAAATATCAAGCCATAAAAACTCCAACCTATGCCCTACCCTATCCTAAACGCCTATTTACCCCAGACAGAAACACCAAGCATGTACCCAACTATGCGTTTTTAATCAGAAACCAAAGCTCATGCATAACAGATACCTTTCGGAATCATGCTGTTTTAAACCAAAAAGCTAGCACCAACACCTCTCCTTTCCCTCTTCAAGGGCGAAAACGTCTTCCCACCAGCAGCAAACGAACTCTTCACTCCGCCCAGGATACCCTTCTTAATTGCCCCCCCAGAGGCAGCAGAACGAGCAACAGGCGGTCTCTTATGCGCTGCTGCCGTCGCT